AAATTTTGGACCGGATTAGTTTGTGCTTCCATGCCCAACTCCGTAACCAACATAGGCAGGGTGTCACTAAGTACAAAGATCGTGTCCATCGAACGATCCGAGGTCCTCTTCTGAGACTATATCTCCTGCCATTCGATAACACCTGAAACCTACAAATTATCATTCTTTCAAAAGGATTGGCATATTCGTAATTTATAATTGCCAAATTGGTATATAAGGTAGTACCATTTTGTTACAACTGTATGGGATAAGCTGACCATCTACGCAGCTTCAGGCCATTTATTATCCTCCATATTAATAATGGAACACTAATAGAAACATATCTTCCTGTTCTTGTCGGAACCTACATAGGCTATCTTCTGCCACAGTGATGCATCATGTATGTTGTGTGTTTGGCTGAGATTTATACCTACCCTGGGGTATTTTTAACCCGGTATGACTTATTAATTTTGTTTTCCATCAAATTGGATCTGTCTCTTTCGTATCGTTTTATCATACACACCACTGATGATCTAAGGGACTAGTTGAGGCCGAGAGGTTAAGGCGTCCGACTCTTACTTGCACGCTGGAAATAATATGTAAACGTATAAAGTGATTGACTACCCGACTAGGACGTTAAGCCCTCCTGTATGACTTAACTTTCTATAGTTTCAGTTGTGCACAACGCAAAAATCCGAATGTACTCACTTTCCCTGTTTTCCATTTGCACAAAAACCGATTAACTTATTAATGATTCTGAGCATGGATGCGCCTTTGTTCTGCCTCCGTGACACCAAGACTAACAGCTTGATAAGTATGAGTACCTTCTACAGAGAAGTCATAAATCTCGTTAAGAACGTATTCGCCATGGTGCAGGAGAAATTCGACAATCTTCCGCTAGCAAGACAACAAGCTAGAGGAGAAAACGCAATAGGCACTTAGTGATAGTGACAGTGATAATATTTACTGTGTACTGTATTATATATATGTTTATGTAAACATAATTACATATGTGGCTAGGAAATGGTTCATCCATTTAATCAGTAGCCTGTTATTTATAAATTTTGGTTATGAAATTACCTCAAAATGTACAAGATAACACTATTTTATCTCATTTTTTTTATATAGTCACCTAAGAAAGGATCATTTTATCCAATTTCTAACTGCTTTCTTGTACAAATCGCTTCGAAACTAACGGGCAGCGGTGACAAACCGGCAGAAGAACTTTCAAAAAGAAATTGCATCTTAAAGTCGAGATTCGAAAAAGATAGACCAGACATCCAGGTCAAATTAGCCGACAGATCTGCACAGATATGAAGACGAGATAAGCCCATGAGTTTCGCCGAGTTTTCATCCTCTCTACCGGCTCCCGGACCACTTTCTAACTTCGCACAAATAAGGAAATTGTTCGGGGTGGCTGAGACAAGTTGGGAAAAATGTTTCTATACATTTTATCTTTTTTCTTATTCTTTCTAGGATATAATTTTTAAAGAAGGACGGACCAAGGGGCAGTGTGTAATTTACAGACCGTGAAAATTAAGTCGAGACGTCTTTAGTGTCAATGACACTCTTCTAGCTAATCAATAGAATGTATCCGACACTACAAATCTAGTCCGGTTGCATTCCACTAGGCTCGAAATAGCCCGGTGGCAGCAGTTTTTAATTTATTTCTTTATTTATGCCGTTGTAACAATTTTTGCCCGAGAACTTTTGGATTGAACTGTAATTCAATATTTAGTCCAATTATGCTATATTCGTATTTTCTTAAAAACACTACCACTAATTTGTTAATTGTAAATTCTTTCCCCTAAGTTAAAAAGTTTGTCCAAATATTTCGTTTATTTCTTTTTTTTTATAACTATTTTGTCATATATTGGAATGATAAAACAATCATTTCTGAAAAATTGAGAATTTTTAATAATAATGATAATTAATCTTTATGTAAGGTATTGGTTGAAATCAAAAAGTCAGTGTCACGAGCGGGATTCGAACCCACGACCTTCGGCTAAATACGCCGCTTCTCTACCACTTGTCCTATCGTGACTTCCATAGACTCGGATACCAACTTCCCATCTCAACCCCCAGATCTCCCCTAATTTTCCCTCCTTTTTGCCATTTTTCAAACGTCGTGTAGTCTACTTGATTCTCGGCGATAAATGGTATTGGTTGAGATAAAAAAATTAGTGTCAGGAGCGGGATTCGAACCCATGACCTTCAGCTAAATACGTCGCTGCTATACCTGCTTTGAAAAATGGCAAAAAGGAGGGAAAATTCAAAAGTGAGGTTGAGATAGGAACTTGGTATCCGAGTGGATTGAAGTCACGATTCCTCAAATGGTAGAGCAGCGGCGTATTTATCCGAAGGTCGTGGGTTCGAATCCCGCTTGTGACACTACTTTTTTATCTCAACCAATACCTACCATACTTAAAAATTAATTAATTGAAAAGAATTTATTTTCTCAATCGGACCACGAAACCCTAATCAATATAATATAATAATACTTTATTGAAAAACACTAATAATAAAGAAACAGCCATATTGCATCAATGAAATTTTACATTTTCAATTAGAAAAGCGACAAGTTAGAACTGCGAATTTTTGAGAAGATTTTCCGAAAATATGCTCAATATTTTCTTTTTCTCGTCCGTTAAACAAAGAAAAGTAAAGGAGTGGAGTATAAAAACAAAGTTTGCCGAGTAGTTTGAAAAGACCAGAGAAGATTTCTTAATTTCAACCCCCAGCCAGTTTCTCACCCTTCAGATCGAACATTCCAAGCCTTTCGCGAGAAACTTCACAGTTGACCGGTTTTCTTCTAATGCACCTCTCTATGGACCATACGTTAGATAGAATACTGTGGAATTCCGCCCTCCAACCTGATAAATAGTCTGGATAGAACTGAAAAGAGGGTTGGTATTTCTCTGACATGGAATTCCGCAAATCAAGCTAAAATTTATTTTTCTTCATTACGTCCTATGTACATAAAGTGTCACCTCGATATATGTAGAAATAAACGATATCCCAAGTCTCTAAATAAACCATATAGTTAGTAGGGGTAAAAGAAAGCAAGGCGAACAACTATTTTTATAAAGAAACGCAGATTTTTCTAGCTGATCATAATATTGAAAAATCCCTGACGTCTGTATGTCAGAATAGAATGGCAAACCGCATTAATTAATTTTAATTTAGAAGATAAGGGCCAGATCATGCTTCATAAAACCAGACCACTTTGTATCAAGAGCAGATTTTGATGCCGAGAATTTCTGCTCGACAATAAGTAACCATTAATTGACACGCGAGAGCTTATTGTCGCGACAACGTATTTGTACTCTTTTACCACTTTGACAGATAAAACCCTTTTTTCCTTCCAAGCTAGCCTGCCTCCTCTTTGGAGGACCTAAGTCATTAATATTTTTCTGAAGGAAAGCGGCTATCTATCTACACAAGGAATACCATAAGAATTTGTATTATTTGTTATATTTTTTATTTAATACTATTTTTTATTACTTGATACATTACAAAAGCAGAAAACAATTATAGCTTGTCGTAAATTGTGCAATAATAATGATGAAGGAAAATAATATAAAAGCTATAAAATTTAAACTCCCTATGAATTTGAAGTAAGTTGAAAATTTGTATTGTCGTAGGAAATTTTACAATCTCTCTCGTACACTCTTTGTCCCCCTTTCTCTCGCTCTCTCTCTCTCTCTCTCTCTCTCTCTCTCTCTCCTCTCTCTCTCTCTCTCTCTCTCTCTCTCTCTCTCTTTCTCTTCTCTATTTCTTTCTCTCTCTCTTTTCTCTTATCTCTCTCTTTATCTTCTCTCTCTTTCTCTTCTTTCTCTCTCTCTATATATATATATCTATCTTATCTATCTCTTTATATCTATCTACATCTATGCATCTATTGTAAGTACTTATATCTGCTCTCTTCTGTGTTTATTTTTATTGTATTCTTCTCATTGCTAATGCATGGGTAGATCCTTAATGAAACTAGTCGTACCATGATTTGTGGCAGCGTATCCAGCGTACGCGCTTGAAGAATTCACTCAATTTTGCAGTAATCATAACACGCTTTTTTCACCCTGTAGAATATTTCTTTTTTAATTGAAATCGCTAGGTAAAGGTTTGAGTTGTTTGAAGTTGTTTGAAGTTTTTTTTTGTTTTTTTTACCAAAAAATGGGTATCTATGTGCTAAGTGAAAAAATCTATGTGCTATGCGACTAAGTTGCACGTCAGTAGTTCAAATTTACATGTACGTTTTTCATATAATGTGGAAAAATCTTCACTAATTCATTGCAGAAATGTTGGATGTTTGTAACTACCCTTAATCTAACTACAAACATGGCTAATTTGTCAACATGTTAAAGTATCCAATATTTCTTCAAATTTTGATTACAAACATTTGTCATTCTAAATTAATTGTTATTACTATTAAGTTTCTTTTATTGGCATGTCGGATGCCACGAGGATTCTGAGGGAAGGCTAAAACTTCGTCGTTCAAAATTAGTTTTGAAAAGACCCTTTCATTACATTTGCAGTTTAAATCTTCACACATAGTGGGCAAATAAAAACAAAATAAAAACCGTAGGATAGTGGAATGAGAACATTTCAAAAATTGTAAAACTATAATTTCGACCGATAAGACTAATTAAAAATTATCGTAGTATTTTCCCCTATCGGCCCGATTTCATTTTTGAAGGGGTAAAACTTTTTTCAGGGTGGAAAGTTTTATTATAAATTCATAGGGGGCGTACATTTTAAGTTCATAATGTGGGTTCCTGAAGCCTTCCCAACCGTATCCTGAATTAAATCCTTTTATATTTTACTATACATGCTAAACATTGAAACTATTTTGTCTTAATGAGAATGAACTCTTTTAAAGCGCCCCAGCGTAGAATAAATATTATTTATTACATGTTGGAGTAAATCATGTTTTTGAAAAGGATATGCCAATAGATGTCCTCATGCTCTAGCAAATGCCAGAAAACGTTCAAATTTTTTACTTTTTTCTGTTTGTTTCACAGGAGAGGCGTAGTCGAGGCGGCCCCAGGAGTCTGTATCTGAAACGGTCTGAAAATGGATTTGGGTTCACACTCAGGCACTTCGTCGTCTATCCACCGGAGTCCAATAGCGTGAGTAAAGATCAGAAATAGCCGGGTCCGGCCCATTATTCCATTAATATTCCAAGACAAATAGTACGAGTTGGCCGAAAAGCGAAACGCCGACCAGATGTTGGTCCCAGGCTAAATTCGTACCCTTGTTAAAGCCGGCCAATATTTCATGTTAGCGTCCTCCAAAACGATAGATCCGCGAAAACGCTTGTCATTCGACATTTTTATCCAACAAGCGACCTTTGGCTGTCGCAACATTAAAGAGATACTCAACTAACATCAATCTGAATCTTACTGATTCAATAATCTAAACAATTTTATTACTAAGTTCTGTTAGTTCACGTTGCAGGCCTTAATTACTTTTCCCTATTTTGAATTGGCTAATCTGAAGAAGCGTTTGAACGGTTGAATTTCTCTTCCTGCTTTTCTATCAGCTCGGATCTGACAAAATTAGCGTTTGTTGTTCTTGAAAAAGCCGATTTGTAAACAGTCAGAATATGCTCGCTTCCATTAAAAATTAAAAACTCATGGCTGATTTTATTGCGACGCAATCGCGTTCTGATTCGAACAGTGATGGAACTTGATCATATAGCTTGTCAAGATATATCAATGTATAAATTACATCAGAACTATAGCTATTCCGCACTTGAAACAAAAATACCCTCGTGCGTTACAATATTTTATTCGTACCGGTTAATTTTTAATTATTTTTTTATTGTTTTCCGAACAAGAATTTATAATTTAAAATTTGTTGGTATCTATCAGTAAAAAAATCTTCGAGCAGGAACAACCTTTCAAACCACGGGGATGGGAATAGGGGAGGCTATTTAGCGACCGGTTATACAATAATTTTTTGAAGTTGTGGTGAGCGGTCAGGAATAAAGAATTTTAGTAAAATGCTTTTCTTTCTTTTTTTTTGTTCCTTTTTAGCAAAAAATGAAAAAGGTGTTTTTCAAAAATGCTTCATCCTCCTTATTAGTGATTATTCGGAAATCGTGAGATGCGGTCTGGTTCTAGGTTTAAGAAAAACATTTTCTTTATCGTGCCAACGTTTCGATTTTTATTGAGATCATCTTCAGGGCCTGGGATTTACAAACATTGTTCAAATTTAACCTGTACGATGTGGAAAAAAGTGAATTTATACAAAGCAAAAAATATTTTTTATAATCAATCAAAGTATTTCTACTCACTCAAATTCACTTTCAAATTATAAATTCACTTTTTTTTTTTGGGGGGGGGGAATTTCCGAATAATCATCGATTAACGGTCGCTAATCACCACACACTCCTCACTAGTTCAACAAATTCCTGTGTTTAAGATTGTTTGTTGAGATTTGGGTTGTGTTAGGATGTCGCGAGACCACTGTCTTTTTAGAAGCTGGGGGGGGTGATTGGGGTGAAGGAAGTGCTTGAAGTGGAATAGTGTTTGTATAATGTTGGACAGGCATGGGATGTCTCGGTTTTTGTGCATGCTTTGGTTAGTGACATAAGTCGTTAGTTTGCGACGGAGGACTTTTGATTGAAAGGATTGGATCCTTTAGATGTTGGATGGCTGAGCACCAAGATCGACTCCATAAGTCGAAATTGGTCTAATTAGTGTCTTGTTAGTTCGTTGTGTGTACGCATTGTGGATTTGGGTCAAATAGGCGTCTGGGTATTTTCGGTTCAAGACATCTTTTTGGTTTTATGTGTGTTCCATGTGTCTGCTCTCCCAGTAGAACACAAGGTAGCGGATTTGGTTGGGTGGAAGAATTACATTAATGTATACGTGCACTTGTTAATTTAGGTCTTGTTTTTACTTTATATGGGTCACATTAGGAATAAGACTATATTTTATCATTTTATTGTGAAATCTATTTAATTCGATTCCCCCCCCACTTAAGATTATACAGCAATAACATGAGGAATTAATAATGAAAAAGTAATTGTGAGAAAAGGAGGATTTCGGAATTTAAAAAAAAAGTTCAATATTATCTTATTATTTCTAAGTAACCCATATAAAACGAAGTGGTCTGTGGTTTTTAGTTTTTGTCCACATTTAATATGTCTGTTCTATATAGGGCACTTGTTTTCCTGCCGGCCTACTCTTTGCGGTAATCAATGTTTATTATGTTTTGGGCACGGTTAAAAGGCCATTTTATATCATCTGATAACTCATAGTTAACCCAGTGGCTTTTATCTCGTGTGTGTTTTTACGGTTTTTATAACGTGTAATCTAATTCTCCATCTTGTCCGTTTGTCTTGTTAGCCCCAGCACGGTCGTCTAAAGAGCTTTTTGCACTGGGTCTATAAAGTTGGACTGGTTATTTGGTTTATAGCCTATATTTGGCAGAACTTGTATTAGCTGAATCCCCATGAAGCCGTGGGTTTTGTTTACCCCCAGCGCGGTCACCAACCTGCACCGAAATTTGTACCGTGATTGTTTTTATAAGTTGTTAGATTTCTAGGTCATTTGCAAGCTTCAGGATTTTCATATAGTTGCTCCTCAGTTTACTTGATTAAGCTTGTGTTTCCTCTTGGACTGGCTATTTTCCTACACATATGGAGAACTCACTTTCTAGCTTCAGCATTCAGGAGAACACACTTACCCGATCCAACGCTATGCGACACTACCCGATGCTACCCGACGCAAATCCAAAGTCCAATTTTCCATAAGCTTGTATTACCCCCGTGCACACCTGCCACGCTAACCTACCCGACGCTCTGCGATCCCACTGTCCAGATTTTCGTCGGGTAGCATCGAGTACAGTCGAAGACAACAGAACCGGACACTCATATTTTTATTCAAACTACATGTATTATTCTCGTTACAATAAATTCAACCTACTTATTTTAATATAAACCAAATTAACAGAGATCAAAAATTCATTAGTTTTTATTTTAAAAAATAATAATAATTTTAATGGTTTGGTAGAAAATTGATCAAAACACCGGAATGCCGTTTTTTGATATAATGAATTTAACTAACACTTTATCACACGGTTTTGCTCATAAAATTTAACTAACAATTTATTACATGGTTTTGCTCATAAAATTTAACTAACAATTTATTACATGGTTTTGCTCATAAAATTTAACTAACAATTTATTTCATGGTTTGCTCACAATTAAACCATTTTCGTCGAGTAGCGTCAGAACAGGACAGTCATATTTTTTGTAGTTTATTTCAAACTATGTATACGTAATTTTGTCATTACATTAATTACAACATACTTATTTTAATAATCCTGTTTGCCTCCTCTATTTTCGTATACCTTTTCCCTTCACCTAAAATATATGTCAAAGATACTGAGCCTCCCAGATGATCGACTGCCTAAAATAATCGCTCTACAGATAATTAGAAAGAATATCGCCTCCTATAATCAATGGGCTTCTCTAGCCCAGAAATACTCATGCCCCTGGCAAAACTCCGGTGTTCGGGAGAATCTCTCGGTCCTTTTAGTACTTCCTTACAAATAATCGAAGGTCATCGAGAAGAAGCTGTGAATAACGCGAAAAGCACAGAGATGTTCTACTTGTATAAGGAAGTTTTCAACGAACATCTACTGTCATACAAACCGAGCCTTTCCCAGTACCTTAATATTAGAGATTCTTGTTGGCTATTCAAACTAAGAGGAAAATTGTTATATTTGAAATTCAAACCCTGGGTTTCGAATGATCCTCAAGATGAAACTTGTCCACTTTGTAACAGCCACGCCAGGGTAGATTCATATCACTTTTTGGGAGTCTGCTCTCTTCTCTTAGAATTGCGGGTATCTTACTTGGGAAGGACAGTCATCTCCAGAGTTGAAATACTGGAATATCTTTCTAACCAAATATCCCCTTTACCGCTAATTTCCTTTGCTCGGCACGCCTTGAGAGTGAGATACGAGTGGCTTTCAGATATGCAATAATTGTCGTCCCTGTGCATATACTTTTACTTTTACTGCTTTGTTTTTTAGTACTCTATCAGTTCTCAAAAGGTAATTTGTTCTTATTTCATTCTTTTTGTTTTCTTCTTTTTTCTCATATTTCCATCTATTAGGATTCATACACCTGCTATAAGTTAATTTTCTCGTCGATTTTTTCTTTATTTGTAAGCTTTTAAGCAGTAAACTCAGCAGTCGGCTATTAGCCGTGCTTATTATACTTTGTATCAGGTTTTTTTTTTTTTTAAATCAATTCTAATAAAGTATTGTGTATTGTATTGTACTTATTTTAATATAAACCAAATTAACCGGGATCAAAAATTCATTAGTTTTTACTTTAAAAAAAATTTAATGGTTTGGTAGAAAATTGATCAAAACACCGGAATGCCGTTTTTTGATATAATGAATTTAACTAACACTTTATTACACCGTTTTGCTCATAAAATTTAACTAACAATTTATTTCATGGTTTTGCTCATAAAATTTAACTAAGAATTTATTTCTTGGTTTTGCTCATAAAATTTAACTAACAATTTATTTCATGGTTTTGCTCATACAATTAAACCATTTTCGTCGAGTAGCGTCAGAATAGGTCACTCATATTTTTTGTAGTTTATTTCAAACTATATATATATATATGTAATTTTATATATTATTTAGTAAATATTATTTACAACGTACTTATTTTAATGTAAACTAAATTAAACGAGATCAAAAATTTATGAGGTTTTATAAAAATTATTTAATTATGATGGTTTGGAAGAAAATTTATCAAAACACCGGAATAACTTTATTTAAAACAATTAAATTTAACTTACAATTTAGTACATGGTCGTGCTCATAAAATTTAAGTAACAATTTATTACATGGTTTTGCTCAAAATAATTCTTTAAGAACAAAAGAGGCATTGCGATTGTGATACTGATTTGTGAAACACGCCACAGTCACACAGCGTGTATCACAAATCAGTGTCACAATCGACAATAATACATGTAGTTTGAATAAAAATATGAGTGTCCGGTTCTGTTGTCTTCGACTGTACTCGATGCTACCCGACGAAAATCTGGACCGTGGGATCGCAGAGCGTCGGGTAGGCTAGCGTGGCATAGCATCG